TTGTATGTTGCCGTTTATTGTGCAGCCACTGAAAAACTGTCCAGCATCAGTAGAATGGCTTACGTGGTGACTTGTATAGGTTGAGGTTGTTCTAGGCTGTTGCTTGGCGTGGCGAGAATATTGCTCCACTTTCTCCGGTCCCCGAGATTGGGCTTCCAGTAGCTCTGGAGAGAGCTTTCGCACCTGTGGCCACTAACGGTTATAATTTCTCTGCTTTGTTTCAAGACCCGCATCAGAAAGCTTTTGAATGGTGCTACTTTTCCAGTTGGTCAACCTGCTCTTCACGTAGCTCTGCATGTCCTCGTTTAGGTGCTCTCTGGAGATAGGCACTGCTCAATCCACTCCTCCATAGTAAGACCCCCCCGGAGGTCAAAGTGAACCTTAAATGTTTCCATCTTAAGCTTTGTTAGTTAGTTTCGTAATGGACGTAATGTAACAGTTGTAACGGTTGTAGCTTTTTCTCAGACACAGAGGGATACTGACTTGTGAAAAGTAACTACAATTCTACCCGTGATATACGCTCATTATATCACGGCTAAGAACCAATCAGATTGCTTGATTTGACTTGTCCGTTTTATAATAAACTTTATAGCCTACTGATGGTTAGCTTGTGAATCTCCTTTTTCCGAACGCTCCTTCATTAAGGTTCAAGGTTCTTTATTTGGTCATACGAACATAGCTACAGTGTAGTTATGCCGATGAAATTCTTTGGTCACAGGCTTCTCCAACAGTGCAACACAAAACACAGATAAACAGAAAAATATAGTGCAAGTAAATAGTAAATCGTAAATACTTATTGCCTGTGGGATGAAGCTGTCCCTGAGTCTGTTGGTTTTTGTCCGGATGCTGCTGTAGCGCCTGCCAGACGGCAGCAGACAGAACAGTTTATGGCTGGGGGTCTTCATATCCGTGATGCCACTCCCAGCAGTTCTAGTCTCATTTGCAGAAAAGAGCTGGTGACTTATTTCTGGCTGCATCCGTCTATCTAGATCTTAATATGTCAGACACAAACTATCATTACAAAGACAGGAAAGCCCTTTAGTGGGAGCTGATCGGCCGGGCGGACACTGAATGTTGCTGCCGCTGAGTTTTCTACTTTTATCGCCGTACATTGATGGGCCTCTTTGCAGTACAGCTGTCAGATGGAGTGCTGACAACCTCATTCATACAGAGTATGAAGATTGGCATCTTCCGGTTGTTGTTCATGGTGAAAAAGAAATATCAAACAAGAAGATTGTAGCACAAATAGATAAAGGGGCAATGTATTTCTTTCATAAAACGGCAGGAAGAGTGGTGATTCGTAGTCAAGATGTTCTTGACATTTTTTTTTTGGATGAAAAGCAGAAATAAGGCTCTACCCAGCGCCCTGCCAGAAGGAGACACTGTGTCAACACATACAATGAAGCCTTATATCAGAATTGGTTTGTTGATTATATGTATTTTAGCTTAATCTGGAGAGTAAGAAGTACAAAGTAGCAGAAAAAATATAATAGTTGTTTGCAGTACTGTGAACATGATATATAAACACGGTATTTTTAGAGTCACTTCTAGACTTTAAGATGTATAATTGTAGTTTATTGTGTGTGAAATGAATGCTGTGTATGGAGATTGTTCTCTTGTATGTCGTTGACAAAGACAGTTTACTAATTTATAGGAATTTGTTGGACAATAAAGTCAAATGATCTAGATTTGATAGCACTAAAGTAAAATAGTTACTTTCCACCACTGCATTTTGATTGGCTGCAATAAAACTTACTTAAAATACAGAATGTCCAGTCCTATGCATTTAGCAAATTTTCCCAGTATTGTGACACAGCATTCCTCCAGCTGGCTGCCTCCCAAAGCCCGGTGTGAGACTCTGATTAGGGGCCACTAATAGATCTCCATCCCTGACTCATCCTGTCCCACTGTTCACTCAATGATACCAATTACTCACCTTCAGGACGTGTCGCGGGCTCAGAGCAGCCAAAAATATCACTTTGTAATTACCACCACTTCCTCTCTGAGCTGGAGTTGATGTCTGGCCTCCGACCGGGTCTTGTCCTGTCATTGGCCAAGAGTTGAGGGGAGTGCCAACTGAGTGTGGTGATGTTACCGAGGCATGTGCATTCACTGTCGGCTCTTCAGGGGCTGATTTCAATCACACATCTGTGTTGGAAGGGGGCAGCTGGATACCCTCCATCACATACCTGTACACACCCACTCCTCTTTTCATTTAACATCATGCAGCCTCCCATCCCACTTTAATGGCACGAGGAGGGACCACCTGCCAAGTGTTAGTATATATGTCCCACAGCTTGATACTTGGACAAGGATGAGCTCATGTGAGTGTGAAGTAAAAAAAAGAAGGAAGAAATAGCAGCAGATTCACTGAGAATGCAGTATAGTCAGTTAGAGGATCAGAGTGGAGGGTAAAGTGAAAGAGGATTGAGACTCACATGTCCCCGCTTCTCATCACGAGGGCACGTCCTAAATTATTACTCCCTTTGAAGATGGATCATCACATCAGAAATGTTCTGATCTGCTCCCAGTGATGTTAGGAAGTGTGCACATTGGTTTGTCCTCCGCTGGCACAAATCCGCAGAGATGACACCCAAAAGATAGAGTCGGCGTTTGCGCAAGGCGAATGTTGATATAGTGATAAATGTCAGTGTTTACTGACCGCGTAACGGCATCAGCGCGGTGGATAAATGTCACACGGAGGCATCACGTGGGATTATTTGTGCTAAAAATGTACCTGGCTTTATTATAGCCATCATTCCTCATTCCATTTCCTGCCAGGACTCTGCCTTCCACAAGATCTAAAGAAATACAACACAGGAGAGAGGGGCGTGAGGCATGCTCTTAAAAGTGTATGACAACTGTGTAAATTATACACACAGTTATTTACTTCCACAGAAGAGAAGTGTGTAGCTTTCTCTCCGGCTTGTGAAACATTACAGGAAGAAAATGGATTAAGCAGATCATTTACTGTTGGCTTATTTAGTATGAATCTGTTTTGCTTCATATATAACTGTTGAATTTGCACTTTATACTCAGCTCTACTGATTGCATTAAAATAAAACTGTGCAAAAAGGACCTGCAACTACTTAGCAAATGTGTCTAATTTACATATACATTTTTTTCTTTTTATATTTTAGTTGAAATTGGTACAGTATATCATGCATTTTTACTAGTCTTTCCTGTGTTGTTATGTGCATATATTTACCATACTACAGGGTCTTAATGAAATAAAAAGCCAACAAATATAAAAGGTAGAAGCTGCATTCAAGTGACGATTGAGAATGATGAAATCAGAGTTTTGAACGCAGCTCAAGGTGTTCAGTAATACTACTGTTAGTTGACCGGTTGGTACACTTTGGTCCAGATGGACATAATGACTTCATCATCCTTGTTCTCTCTGGGGAGTACATTGAGCCACCATCATTCATATTTGGCAACAGGAAAATCTTCAATTATTGGGTAAACTGCCATGAAGTTGGGTACAGACACTGATGTTCCCCAGAGGATTAGAAACTTTGGAGCTCGTCTGATTTCAGGCCATCATTTTAAAGCGTTATTTTTACTTTGTGTTTGATGCTAACAAGCTCATCTTTGGTGATATCTTTTTAACGGCTCTGTGTGTGTACCCTCAAATCCTGATGTGCGTTGTTTAGTGTTGAGATCTGAGGTGACATGTATACTGTGATAGCTGTTACCAAAGACTGTCAGGGTTTGATTTAAACTTCACGAAACATACAATATATACTGGCCAGCTTTCCCTCCCTTTATACTTTTCAGCGTTCCTCTGTTTGTTGTTGTTAGCAGCTTTAGAAGATGAAAAACCTTAAAAAGGAAAAATATTTACTGCAATTTGATGATCTTATGTAAGAGGGGAGTTGGGAAATCGTATCAAACCTCAATCAAAGTATTGGGATGGTGATGGATATCGTTATTGAGTAATGCTCTAATATGAAAGTTCACACATTTTAGAAACTCAACCACGGCCAAGTTGAACAATGTTGCCATAAATGTGGCTCTATTGAAATTCACATGATGTGACATGGTGAGACCTTTAGTTGTTACACACATGATGCTTTGTGGGTGGAAATGGAGTGGGGGTGTGGGGTAAGAGACGGTGATGGAGATGAGAGGGCAGAGACATGCCCAGCAGAGCAGAGGATAATACGTTCCAATGGTGCACTGAAGTTATCTCCAGGATAACCAGTTAGACTGGGAAGCACACACAAATCGAGGGGTAGCATTTTTTAAGTTTAAACTGTTTTTAATCAATTTCTTGAAAAGGGTTCACTGCAAATGAAAAGACTGATAAATGATAAATGATTTGATTGGCTCTTGTTTAGGCCTATAACCGGATCCAAGACAGGATGGGTGGGGATTACAATAAAATACTCTTACTCCTGTATATGTCACTTTATAGTTTTATTTTTATGATATTGAGAAAAAAAGAAATGACCTCGAAAACAAATATATAATAATAAATAGTTATCAATGACCCAACCAAGTGTCTGTTTTGTAAAACATGCTACAGATTAATCTAACACTCTTAATAATATTAAAAGTGATATCTATCACAGTTTACTGTGAGAGTGTAACTGTTATGTTCCCTATTGGGCTAGAGGAACCAAAGGGAAATAACACGACCAGAGTGGTATTGGTAATAATTATAAGTGGCTTGAACCAAAAAGGCAGGCAACTTTCATAGCTGCTGTGCATACACCTTTGTACTTTTCTGTGTCCAAAAGGCACCAAAAGTTCTAAAAAGAAACAAACCCTCCCGTTACACGGGGTACAAAATATGAATGAGGAAAGCTGCACACACACAGCTGTAGCTGGTCTACAGGTGCTAATCACCTGGGTCTAAGCTAACACGTTTTAAACAGATAACAACAGTTGATCAACAGGTGCTAATCACCTGGGTCTAAGCTAACAATCCTACACAACGTTACACAATAAGAAAGGCACAACACACTACTTGCACTCTGCTAAGTATCTACGGATTACGGGGGAGCTAACAGTATAAACACACACAGTAGAGTATCACGAGGCTAGAGGCGTCTGTCTCCCTACACAGAGCCTCCAGAATGATCTCCGTTCCCAGCCTTTGTACTCCTCCCCCGGGAGATGTGCCGGAAAGGGCGGGGATTGGATGACGTCTCATCCAATCACCTCTTCGGATGCAGCGAGGGCAGGACGTCGGAGGAACTGCGCCGCTCAGGTGTACACACACACACACACACACACAACAGCTTTACCAGCCTTAACAGCCCCAGGAAGGCAGCGGCTGTAACAGTAACATTGGATTCATCTTTGAGACATGAAAAAAAGTTGTTCATAATGAACCATATGTAGCTGGGTAAATAATGTACATACAAACACATACTATTTACAAACAATGAAATTAAATAATAATACAAATGCTGAACATTCCCATGTTTTAGCCCTTATAAAATAGCTTCATGTTTTCTTTTGGACAAAACACGCAGTTAGATGACATAGATTTGAGTTCTAACAAACTGTGATAAGCAATGATAATATAATGAATCAGTTCATCAAAATGGCTGATGAAAATAATTGCAGCCCTACAGAGGATCCCCTCATCAGAATCAGAATCAGAATCGGGTTTATTGCCAGGTAGGTTCACACATACGAGGAATTTGACTTGATGTCATGGTGCAGACATACGATATAAAACAAAAACTCTCCATATAAAACAAGAAATCTAATATAAAACAAAAAATCTTTAAGGACACTGTAATAAAATATAGTTAGATAGCAATAAAATAAAGCCGTAATTTACAGCGAAATGGAATGCATTGAGTTATAGAATATGAAATATGAAATAAGAATATGTGCAGTAAGCAGTGTTTGAACATTGTGTGCATTAATGTAATGCATATAGAGTCTACGTTGTGTCAGTGGGGGTGGGCCTTGTTTAAGAGGCCGGTAGGGGAGGGGAAGAAACTGTTCAGGTGGCAAGAGGTTTTGGTCCTGATGGAGTGCAGCCTCCTCCCAGAGGGGAGGGGGGTGAACAGCTTGTGTCCAGGGTGGCAGGGGTCGGCCACTATCTTCCCTGCCTCTCTTTTCTTTAACAAAGAGCAAAAATGATCCGACAAGTG